AGAGAAGGTTTTACTCTATTGCCCTGGATAGAGTGCTGCGCCATCATAGCTCATAGTAACCTCAAAATCTTGGGCTCAAGCAATCCTCTTGCCTCAGCCTCCAAAGTAGCTGAAATTACAGGCATCTGCCATAATGCTCAGCTATGTTTTAGAGACAGGGTCTTACTTTCCTTAGACTGGTCTTGAACTCCAGAGCTCTAGCCTAAAGTGCTAGGATTACAGGTATGAGCCACTATACCCAGCTAAAAATAAATTTTAAAAGGAACGAGGAAGCTCTCTACTGATACAGAAATTACTTTGAGATATATGTATTAAATGAAAAAGTGTGCTCCGAATGTTCCTTAAGTATGTAACAAAATAAACCCTGGAAAGATACACAGAAAACCATTAGTAATAGTTACTTGTTGGGGGGGGCGCTAAGAATGGATGGGAACTGGATAGATGGGGAGAAAGGGGTAGAAGAGACATTTTACTATTAACTACTTTACATTTTAAGAAATTTTATTGGTTTGGCACCTGTGGCGCAAGTGGCTAAGGGGCCAGCCACATACACCTAAGGTGGCGGGTTCGAATCCAGCCCGGGCCCACCAAACAACAATGATGGCTGCAACCGAAAAAAAATAGCCAGGCATTGTGGTGGGAGCCTGTGGTTCCAGCAACTTGGGAGGCGGAGGCAGGAGGCTCGCTTGAGCCCAGGAGTTGGAGGTTGCTGTGAGCTACGCCACAGCACTCTACCCAGGGGGACAGCTTGAGGCTCTGTCTTAAAAAAAAAAAGAAAAAAAGAAAGAAATTTTATTTATTTATTTATTTATTTATTTATTTTTAAGACAGTGTCTCATTTTGTCACCCTTGGTAGAGTGGTGTGGCATCACGACTCACAGCAACCTCAAACTCTTGGGCTTAAGTGATTTTCTTGTCTAGGCGCCCGCCACAATGCCCACATATTTTTTTAGAGATGGGGTCTTGCTCTTGCTCAGGCTAGTCTCCGACTGGTGAGCTCAGGCAATCCACCCACCCACCTCAGCCCACCAAGTGCTGGGATTACAAGCATGAGCCACCATGCCTGGCAATATTTTAAGAAAATTAATTTTTTTTTTTAGCTACAGCTGCTGGAATGGGATATTTAAAAAAAAATTGGGGGCAGCACCTGTGGCTCAGTGAGTAGGACGCCGACCCCAAATACCGAGGGTGGCGGGTTCAAACCAGGCCCCAGTCAAACTGCAACAAAAAAATAGCCTGGCGTTGTGGCAGGCACCTATAGTCCCAGCTACTCGAGAGGCTGAGGCAAGAGAATCGCCTAAGCCCAGGATTTGGAGGTTGCTGTGAGCTG